CCCGAAGGGTCTCATCCTTCTTCTGGCGTATTGTTAGGAGGTGGGAGAAGTGCTTCCTTGTGCGACGCCTCCCGGTGAATTGTGTCAAGAATCGTTGGGCGAGTTCTTGCCACGAATCAATGCAGCCCTCGGGCAGCCTGTTGAACCATTCGTATGTCGGTCCCTCTAAGGTGGAGAGGAACCATCGACACAAATATTCGTCTGACGCCCCCACCATCATCATGTTGTTCTGGTATTTGCTGTAGTGTTCCTGGGGGTCCGTTTTCCCGTTGTAGGGCTGTATGTGTTGCCCTCGGTATTTTTCCGGGATCCGGGACGCCAATACCCTTGGGGTAAATGGCGTCCGAGTCCGGAGCTGGATGACGGGTTCCCCGGAGCCCTCGGCCACCCTCTTCTGTAACTCCTCCATTTTGGCCATCATGGCCTCGTATTTGAGATCTGAATGAGGGGTGGAGGTGGTGGCGTGAGCTTTGTTGGACTCCATCTCGTCAAGTCGGCGTTGGAGGGCCGCAATAATCTCGTCCCGGGGATCCTTCGGGAGGGTCTCCGCCCCCTGCGAACGAACCCGGGCCGAGTGGGCCTGGTTGATTTGGTGCCGAGCATCATCGGCATGAAGGGGTGCCTTGCCTTTGTCCCGAGGGGGACGCTCCTCGTCTGCCCTCGAAACAGATCCCCCGCTTTCCTGGGGCCTTTGGAGTGCTTTCCCCCCGAGGCGGTCTTGGACCCCTCGGCGGTCTGGCCCTCCTCCGAGCCGGTTGAGGGTGGAAGTACGGGGCCTTTCCCTGTTGTCATTGTGGCGGTCCCGGGACTGAACTTCCTGGGAGGACGTATCTTGGGCCACCACCCCCTCGTCGTTTCTCACCCGAGGGGTGGGATTTCCGAAGGGTGGGCTGGAGCCAGGGTGCCGAAGGCACCCGGGTTCTGGGTGAGCGTCTGGATGAAGGCGGAGAGCGCCGATTGCACGTCGATGGTGAGAACCGGAGGGCTGACTTGGTCATCGCTCCGGTTTCTCTTCTTGGCCTCGATGCCGAGGCGGGCATCGGGGGCATTTTTTTGAATCTGAAGGCGTAGATCGACAGCCGCCTGTTCCAGCCCAGCGATGACACCGCCCTCGGGAGCCCTGTGAGAGGCTTCGGGGGCGTTGACGTCGCCGAGGGCCAGGTTCTTGTCTTCTACGTTCTTTGAGTTGGCACGTGTTGTCCTCACCATTTTGATAGAGGGCTAGTGTTTTGTGTTTGGTCGAGGGGGAGGGTTTCTTACTCGATTGTTCAACCTCTCAACGAGAGCACCAAATGATGGATAGTCTACCCGGGGGTATATATCCGAAGGGTTATTACGGGGAATAACTTAGAGAGAAGTCAGAGTAAGTAAGTAAAAGTAGAGAGAGAAAATGTATTATAAATGCGGAGTGTTTTCAGCGTGTTATGACTTGGTTACAAATGGGGAAATGGGGTGCTATTTATAGTAGCAATAAATGCCGGGCAGGGACACGTGTCAAGCGCTCATTGGCCGAGGGGTCACCTCAACTGGTTGGCGCTGGCAACCGCATGTGGCCGCATTTAATGCGGCTGTTGGATGGGACGTCTGTGCAGGGTACGGTGATCGAGGCGGATATCTTGTCGAGTGAGATGCCTTCGGCCATAGAGCAGTAGCCGAGGGCTCTTCCACCCGATGGCACCCTGGTGCCGAGGGCTCACAGTGCCGAGGGCTACTGTTTTCGCCGTTTTCTCCCAGTTTCTTAATTTGCTTGAGAAACCCGTTCTGTGAGAATTTAGAGCCTTCGGCCGGGGGGCCGAAGGCACCCCTGGCGCGTAGTGCGGGCTGCTTGGTACTCTGGGCGCTGTGATTTGGGCCTGCTGGGCCTTCTGGGCCTGTTGGGCCTTCGCTGGAGTAGTAGGAGTCTGTGGGCCGGGGGTTCCCGGGCCATATACTCCATCAAAAATTTCTAAAGGGGTACTTTCAAATTCTAATTAACCTAGCATCATCAAAATCTAAAAACTTTTATTCCTTACAGTAATAATTTTTATTACATAATGAAGTTAAGTGAGTAGGTATAATATATTATTAAATGTGTTGACACACAAAATTGTAATGTTTGTGTGTGTGTTTTTTATACACACAAACACAACATTACTCATCGTATTTATGCAAAAGTATTGATAAAATTATAATTTCTATGTCTAGCACCTAACACCTTTTAGAACATTGATTAACACCATTAATCTTTTTAACTTTTGACACAGTTAGAGTTATAATATATGTTATAAGAATTAGACCATGTTAGAACAATATTAATTGTGTTCAAACGAATTGTAATTATCTTTATTTATTTAGACTAGTATTAGTGGGCTTTTTAGTTGAGGGAAAAGTGGGTTAGTTAATTGATTAATTCCATGTGTGTGAGTTTCCTAATTGTAGTAGGATGTTCGATTCTCCTTCGTATAAATAAAGGTAGAGGTTCAAAACATGCTTAAGGAGTTTACATATTATTTCCACTCGTATCATTGTTAGATCTCCCACTTTATTTGTTTCTCTCAACTATTCATACGTATATCATGCATTCTTTGACATATCATTATGAATATACAATATTGAATGTTGATTGATTATTCTTCTTCTACATCAATTCTTTACATTATTATTATTCTGTGATATGATCTGGGAATTCACAGACCATATCGGGCGGGTCAACATGGAAACCCCGCAAACCGTCTCCCAATCTAATCTGCTTGACTATCAGGTTGTTAAGTTAATAAAAACTGGAAAAAATCAATGACCTGTGTAGACCCATAAGGGATTCGACCCGCGCCAAACCCATGAAATGTGATAACACCGGATCATCCCGGAAGGTTGGAAAGGGGAAGGTTTTCGTCTCTTTGATACGGAGTTACAAGGGGTAATTAAGATTTTGGGCATACAGGCTTCTATTACTACAGAATTTGAGAAATTTTGGGAGGTTGAATTTGGTTCTGAACTCTTTGGACTTAGTCCGAGGGGAATTGAGACTTTTAATTCACCATCTATTTCATCATTATTGTTTAGGGAAGACTTAAATAAAATTGGGGTCTTTGATTCATTATCTTCTCCGATTTCTGTTAATGATATGGACATTGTTAAAGCAAAGCCCCTCCAGATTATTGTTGTAGATACTCCTATTCTACAGACGGAGGCGGTTGTTGACATGCCTGCGGAATCATATTCGGCTTCACACAATGAAATGAAAAACATTGTTGTTAGAAAAACTATATCAGATGAAGAGCTGCTAGAACGTTTAGTTGATGCTACTTGGAAGCTGAGTCCTCCTAAGTTCAATCAGAAGGTCTTGAGAAGAAGTGAAAGAATTGCTTCTAATCGGAAGCTTTTATCTAGGAGCTAAATGGATCAAGTTTGGATTTTTTTATCTTATTGTTTTCATTAGCTTTGGGGGAGTTCTCCCCTTTTATTTGATTCTCTTCCTTCATTAGGGCATGTAACCTTTTTCATTCTAAATAAAACTTTTCTTTTTCAAAAAAGAAAGTTATAACACCAAAAATATGCCAAATCTATAATCTACAAATATAATTATATTATATTATATATATGTGTATGTGTGTGTGTGTGTGTGTGTGTGTATAGTTGTATAATGATATACTACGTAATTATGTATATGGAATTTGGGTCAAATGATAACGCGGTCTAAAGAGAGAAATGGAAATGAATATGGAGTATTAGATTTGAGATTTGGGTAGGCATCGTTTCGGACCATTCGTTTTTGTCACCGGAGGATGGGTTCTCATCGAAATCGAATCCTATACATGTGTGTGTTTGTTTATTATGTGTTGAATTTGATAATTGTGTGTAATGTGAAACGGGAATGCGCACTGCAATGGTTTAGAAAATGTAGTGACATTTTAAAATTAAACTTTTTTCGTTTGTTTGAACCGTGCATTATCTTGATCATAAATTTGCATGGTCATGAACTATAATCTATATTGTGTATCGTTCTAGGCCGTTCTCATTTCTCACATGAAGAACCGTTCTCACCGGAATTGGGCTGTGTGTGTGCTCGAGTGTGAAATAAGAAAGAATCTTGACGGTTGAATTTGACGCCTTGCACTAAAATAACTTTATGTTGAAACAAGACTCAATTTGACGATGTTTCACTAAAACATGTTTATGTTGTTCTAAAGAAATGCAACATGGCAATTTGACAAGTACTTGCAAAAATGCCATCGCCCAAAATTTATTTCATCGTTTAGTGCAACATGATTTTTTTTTACTTTTAGTACAACATAATTGATTTTTGTCTACTAATTTTTAATTTTGGTAGGCCTAGGGTAGGTAACCAGGTGCATAATTCGTCAACTCGAATAAATAAGGAGCTCTTATGGAGAGTGTTATATCATCATAACAACCACAAATATTTTAGAAGGGATCCCATTAAAAATATGTGTGTATATGACTCCTTGATCTATAAAATTCTCCCCCAACTCAACTCGCATCCTATATATGCAAAGATCCTAATGTTGAAGGACTTCAACTAGTGCACTATAAACATATAAAGGAACCAGAGGTAAGATTCCGTGGAAGCCCCACTCAATTGCTTGGAACATTCGAGCATGCTAATTACAGGGGTTAAATGGAGGGGGCCAGTACCTTGAAATGAGCTTCATGATTTATACCATGCTTCTGTTCCCCACCCACAGAAACCAAGCCCTACCACCAACAATATTTCCAGCATTTCTTGCTTATTCCATGTGCCTAGACATAACTATTCCCATCTCACTTGCATTCAAGTTTAGCAAGCCAAGCAAAACTGACCCCTCCACCCCCCACCACACTTATAATATTCTCTGTATCATTTCAAGAACTCCACAATGACAACTCGGCAGGGCCACAGAAGTTGTACGTTTATGTTTTCGCAGTGGTACCAAGGATACATGTATCAGTAAAGTTTTCTTTTACAAGATGTACACTTCAATCCATATACACAGTGAGTGAAACCAACTTTAAATTGGTGCCAACCTACAAAGGCCCTCTCATGAATGTGTGATATGAAGTGTATAGATAAAGTCTATGTTTGATGCCTATGTTATATAAAGAAAGTTATAGGATAGAATTCCCCAAAGAGAAGGATTGGGAGCACTTACAATAGTAATATTTTAGTGACACATGCTTTATTCTGTTTTCAAGTAGAGTGCATCTAAGAACCCATGGGAAAGAAGAACTGGTGCAGTATGCTGAAAAGGATTGTCATTCTGGGGAGAGAAGCTACATTAGAAATGGTAAAGGATTTCATCACATATCAACAGTAGATCACAAGTATTTAAACAGTCATTGTACATATGTGTAATTCTCTATGGCAGGGTAAGAGGAAGAGATCATTTGGAAGGCTGAAAATCAAATGGTCAGCCTTGTTCTCAGCTCCACAACCACTGCCACAAAGTGAACATACCATGGATATTATGGCTACTGCAACTAATGAATGTGAGGCTGCTCATCAGCCTAGAGAAGAGAACTCACAGCTATCAGACCAATACTGCTTTAACTATGACAGAGAGGTTCTGAACCTGGTTTCCATCAAAATCCAAACAGCTTTTCGGGGTTACCTTGTAAGTTGTTACTTTGTTGCTTTTATTTGAGAAGAGCATATTCATCCACTTCTTGTCAGTTGTCATTGTTAGATTTATTAAACATTGTCAGAAACCATATATAGTCATAAAGTCACACAGAACAGAAACCAGGTAAATCTTTATCCACAAAAGGAAACGTTTTATGATCGGAGTCTATGTTACCATCTACTCCAGTTAAAAGTAAATTGGGTAAGAATGCTAGCCATAGATAGAAATAACTTCTTCCCCATATTTTCAATTTTTATTGCTTTTGGTGCATGAGTCTGGATTTCTGGCAACCTCAGGTCTATCCTACAACTCATCCGGCCAACTCTGTGAAACTTTAGGTTGCTTTTTATTGGATATGTGACCGGAAAGGACCAAATGTGGAAACGAATTTATAATCTTGCACCAAAAGTAAAACCAAAAGTAAAAAAATGGCTTAAAAGTTTTACTGTTTTAAGTTCAAGCAAGGAGAACTTGATATCTCCAACTTATAGTGCAATTATAGTTTCTTGTGAATGTTGTTTCAAGTACCAAACGGACGTCAGACTAAGTATGATTAGACAGCTTAGGCAGGGTTAAGTGGAATTAGGCATGGCGTAATCAGAAAAAAGCATAGGCAAACAATGAGTATTTACACCAATAATGGAGCATATTCCCTGGCCCTCACACTAATGTGGCACGTTTTGCAGGCAAGAAAAGCCTTACGGGCATTGAAAGGACTAGTGAAGCTTCAAGCAATCATCAGGGGTCGAGCGGTTCGGCGTCAAACTGTTGCCACCCTTAAGCGCTTGCAGTCCATCATGAGCATCCAATCAGAACTCCATGCACAAAGGTGCAACTTAGTGAAGAACACAGCAGACTCTCAAGAACATCAATGCCATGATATAAAGGTGTGTATACTACTTGCTAAACAAAACAAAGATAACATACCACAATGTCATTGGCATAATGGCGAAATTTCTTTACCTTTAAAGAACAGTTTCTGGTTAATTAAGCATTTAAGCCCTTGTTTGATTGTGGGATTTCGGAGGGGTGCAAGGGGATGTTTGATCTTTATTTTATTAATTAATTTATTTAAGATGTTTTTTCTTGAATTTATTTCAGTCCTAGATCAGACCTCGATAGTTGTAAAATACACATACACCAAGTTCAGACCAGACCCGAAAAATATCAGTCCGAGTAAAAAAATCCTTGTTAGATTCAGATAGTCGCAAAGAAAGTAACGATTGAAATATTAAGCAGAATTTAAGTATATGTTTTAACTAAATTTATAAAGGAATTAACAAAACAAACCCTCCCCACCCCTCTGGAATCCTCCAACTAAACAAGCCTAGGTTCATTAATACTCTTTTAAGTGTGCAGATAGATGTGAGCAGCAACAAAAGGTGGGATAATCGGATTTTCTCAAAGGAAGAAGCAAATGCCATGTTCTTAAGTAGGATGGATGCTGCCATCAAAAGAGATCGTATAAAGGAATACTGGTTGACTCATAGGGTAAGTTAGCTTGGGAATTGATTTCTGCAAACTCTCAAAACAATTAAATCCCACAATATATATGACAAATACATTTGTACATTTCCAGAGATCCACAGAACAAGAATGGAAACCACGGATAAAACAGAGATACTGGTTAGAACAATGGGTAGATGCTCAGCTAGCCAAAAGAGACGATCTTTCAAGCCTAGACGCAGATTTTTCTGCAAGTGCAAGAATGAGAAATGAATTTGAGCAAAGAGAATCATCACCAAATTTTATGAAACAATACAGGCCGGAAGGGACTCCAAGAAGATCATTTCACCATAATAGACAACACTCCATAGGGGATGACAGTCCGGGGGTGTCTAGATCAGTGCCAACTTACATGGCAGCCACTGAATCTGCCAAAGCAAAAGCAAGATCATTGAGCTCACCAAGGCTAAGACCAATGAAGTTTGATGCCTACTCTGAAATTAATTCCCCATACAAGTATAAGCTCTCTCCTATATCATCTATTAACAGCGAGATGACAGTAAAGAGCAGGGTTCTCAAGCCTTCAAGTTTGTCACAAAGATCACCGTGCTTGAAGAGCACAGCTACCCCTGTAAGATCAAGCAGAAGTCTAAAGAATATGAGACTGGAGTCAGATTTCTCGCTCCAGGCATAACAGCATTTGTAACATTTGGATGGTCTGCTTACGTGCATATTTCAGTTCATAATAAAATGGTGCTGAAAGTCCTACCCATAACAAAGAAAAAGACCATGTTGAGTCCAAAAAGGACTGAAAACAGTATTCTATTCATTTATTGAAAAAAAGGACGCAAAAATTAAATTGATCATGTCTGTGGATGACATATTTAACCGCTCAACACTCAAGGAAGGTATAACACCCCCTATTAAGGTACATCGTCAACTTTTCCCCTATCAACGAACATCTTCAACTTCTCTTCTTTTCTGACATTACCAAGCATCCAATATACAAAATTCTAGAAGATTTATGCATACATAAGTACAAGGGCAGATTACCATTAATGTGCAAGACATCTCAGCAATATGGGAGAATGATGTAAAGAATTCACATCTATCATTTCAAAAGATCACTATATATAATACTTTCTCAAGCATCACTCCATTAGCCATTTCAACTTTAGAACAACTCTTAATCACACAACTTCAGGCCCACATACTACTAATCATATGAGACCTTTTCCAATTTATAGAAAATGATCTTATCAGTTATCAAACCTACACCACTTGCGTGTCATTACAACATGTTCAGCCCACAAAATAAACAAAATAAAGTGGTTCAGAAAATGATTCCTCTTCAAAGAGATAATCATTTTCAAAAGAAAGACAAATACTAAGAAACTTCTGTTTACATTGGATCTTAAGTAACCAAAAAAGGAAAATAGTTTATGTCATCTTTGCTTAAGTAAAATCTTATATGAGAACCCAAAGTCTGTTCAGAAGAAAACATTTATAAGCAACAAAAATCAATCAGCCGAAGCAGAGATCAGTTGACTTTACAAAACACTGTGAATACATTTATACATTAAGTTCATGATGGCTGTATAGCAGATGACCTCAAAAATCCCATTGTGCGTTAATTTGCATACATTATCACAACTATTAGCAGTCAAAACATGTGCTCAAGGTCTCCCCCAGGAAAATCTTGACTGGAAAAAGACGTGGGATTAAAAACAACACTGCTAAGGGGCATTGTGTGTGATTGGATACATTAGCTGGAGATCCACTGTGGTATACTGGTATCAAATGAATATTACACAAGGACCCTTTTCAGTCAAGGCAAATCTCGTCATTTACATTCCGCACCAAGTCCTACGAATTCCTCCAATTGCAAGATGCACCCTCTTCATCTCCTTGAAACCTTGAACTTGTAAACCTTGAAGTATGGTATGAAGAACATTCCCTCTTGTTTGGACCACCATAGAATGACTCCTTCCTGGTATTGATTCTTTCCCACTCTGAATATGGGACCTGGTTACTCTGACTGCCTGTCTTTGTCCAATTGTTACAATTATTTTCCCACTGCTGAGACCATTCTCTTTTCGGAGCTCCACCTCCTAGGGTTTTGTTATTTCCCCAAGGCTCACAATTATTATGTGTTTGGAAACCATTCCGATTCCTATCATCCCAAGCATTTTGACTCCAAGAACCATTAGTGTTATAGCTCCAATCTTTTTGCCTTGTATCATTATTCCAAGAACTGTTCCAAGCATTATCCGGTGTACTTGACGAGTTCTGAATCCATGATACATTTCCTCCACCTATCCATCCAGTACTCTTGGAAGACCCTGCAGTTCTTGTGTGATTCTCTTCCCATGGATTCTCAACATTTTTCACCCTTTTCAAGTCATCCCAAGCATTCTCACCATCCTTTGTATTTTTGGCATCTTGTGATGTTGTGCATCCAGAAATATCATCTAAGTTGCTCGACTCTACTTCATCAGGATTGAAAAACTGTCCTTCTAAATCCGATATCAATCCAGGGTCAATCTTTGCATTCCAATCAACTTTGTCAACATACTTAAAAGCATCAGGCAAAGCGTTGTCACAGTGATGGCCATTAATCATAGCCCAATATCTTTTTTTGGCATCAATAAAGGTTAGTTGACTTGCAGAATCATCCCACTTAGCCACATTATCATAGCAGCTAATGTACTTCTTCATATTGACAACTTTATTCCAAGGTATTCCTACCGATTTGCAGAAATCTATCTCCCATGAAGGTGCGCTGTTTTCCTGAATAACTTCAGAGATAAGAAGATAAACTTATATAGATGGCATAGATACATGGTTACAGTACAACAACATCATCCAAGCCTTAGTCTCAAAAGATTTTAGGTCGGCTAAGATGAATCAATACATGATATCGGAGGCAAAAAGGAAAGAAGGATAAGAAAGATAAAAAGATAAGGAAAGATAGTTACATGGTTATAAAACTTACAATATCATAATAAATTTAGATTTTTTTTCACAATAAATTGAGATTAAGAAATGATCATGATCCCAAATAAGAGACATGAAATCAGGCATCTTATTGCAATAGGTACAAGTCTATCCTAAATGACAGTTATGGCACTAATGAGCAAGGAAGATTTCCACGAGACAATCACATAGGCATGTAATCAATAAAGCAGGGAGCCTTCTCTTGTTTTAACAACAAAATTGCAACCAATATTTAATATTTCATAATCGTTTAACTTACAACTGGAGATATACATATCACAATACCATAATTAAAAGTTACTGCTTTAAACAATACAAATATAAAGTTCACAGAACAGATTAATAGGGTAGGCTCAAAAATCAAGAAATGTGGAGTACTAGTATTCTTGAGAATATTTATCTTCACTATTATCTTTTGAGTTGTAGTTTACCTCTGATTGTCTAAACATTACCTGTATATCTACTATATTAGAGGAATTGCTTCTCACAAATTGGCATGGCTACTGGTAATAAGCTAATGTTTCTTATTTTGTCTGTTGAATGTAGCTTGTATTACAATCAACTAGGAACTGAATCTCTTGCTTTCCTTGTTAATTTGTTGAATAATTTACTAACAAAGCAATAAATACATGTTTTATGGGCTAAAGTGAGTGGTTTTCTTGTATTTTCATTTCAATCCTAATTCTCTTATCATGTTACATTAATTAAACTCTATTGTTATAAACTTACAATATACAGCTGATTTTGTAATGAAATCTGACAGCTACACATTAAGCATTAGCAAGACAGTAGCACACCTATCTACTAGTGCTGAAACAGATCATAGCTAACAATCGTAGTAAATAAGCTTATTCCTCAAACATGGTTGGCGTGAGACTTTTTCCTCAACTACATCAGAATTTATGTTAACGATTTCTCCTATATTATTAGTAATCCCCTAATGGTTCTTCTTTAATTAATCTCTCAAATTTGTACACTTTTAGGAAGCAAAAACAATGGCCCGAATCCCCGAATCCAGTGCCACAATCAGAGACAAAATACAGTTCACACATGTAAGTCTGAGTTAGATCAATTTATCGCCAGAAAGCGCCAATGTTAAATTTATCAAGAAATGAAAGACCATCAAAAACAGAAAATCAGAGAAACCCAATCAGAAGATAGGTACCAGGCTGAGCTTCATCATCATAATCAGTGGGATGGAAGTTCTTATATTGATTGTAATTCCTTCTGGGCACGTATCTCCGGTTCCACTTGCCCATCTGAGGTTATACAGTAGAACTAAAGGGGGTGGGGTTTCATCAAGATCTACAATCCCAGGTTTTCTAAAGAGGAATTCGAAAAAGACTGACGGCGCTAGATAATATACAGGTCTGGGATGTGAGAATTATTTAAACGGAAGACGATGAGTCGGTTGTGCGCGGCACCACCAGATTATTCAGGAACACGTTCTGTATGTATTTCTGCACCAGATTGTTAACAAAATGCTAGAGTTTTTTCCCAGTTTTTCAAACTTATTTCCCAAACTAAGGTAGAAGTATTACACAAGAAAGGTATGTATTTAAACCACTACATCATTCACTTGTTAACAAATGCATTTTAAGAAGTATAAATCATGTATCATTCACTCCGGGAGTGCACTATTTCTTAATCGCATGTATTATTTGTTCCTTTAGAAATACGAAGTATATTTCTTCCTTTCCCAAACAATTAAAAATATAACAATAAAAAACTTATAAAATAAAATAAAATATAAGTAAATTTCATGCTAGTCCACTTTAAATTCTATAAAAGGTTTAATATTAATGTAAAATATCGTATAAATTTTTCTTTATGAAAATTCTCTAACAGCTCAATTTTGTTCAGCCTCAGCTCGACTCCGCCTCGGAACCAAGCATATTTCGTTTATAAATTTATCAAGTTTTTTCTTTCTTAGATAAATATTATATGATTTTCTTTACATGAATAGTATCTGATTTTAAATTGAGGTGGGTTAGAGCCTTTCATAACATTTAGTAACAATAAATTTTAATTAAGTCTTTATTTTTAATTATCACAAACCTAGTATTTTGCGTAATTTTTTAATTATTTGAAAAAGAAGCTATATATTTTTAAAGCAATGAGTAATACACAGCTAAATGTATACATTCTTGGACTTAAAGTATTTGTATTGCAAATTTCACTAAAATTTAACATGTTACAATTTAGTTCAAATTTGAGTGTTGTATTTGAATTTGAAACAATAATAATCAATGAGAAAATTGAATCGAGTCCAGAAGAGTTGAGCTGCTATAATGAAATAATCACAACGAAAAGCTTAGTTTGCGATATTTAATTCTATAAAAATGTAATTTAAATTTATAAAAAAATTGAAGTGTATAATTTAAAAGTTATTTGAAATAACTCAAAAGTAAATAAAATAAAAAATTAGTAAATTTCATGCAATAAGTAACTTAGAAATAAGTAACTTAGAAATATGACTTTTATTTTAATTGATTTTATTTCATTTGAAGCTAAGTTATTTAAAAAAATACATATTCCAAATTGTGTTTTGTCATTATAAGTTTAGATTAATTTTTTGTATTCTAAGTTAAATATTTCTTTATTTTTCAAATTAAATTAGCAAATTATGTTTTTATTATAAGTTTTAATAAGATTTTTAATTGAATAACTCAAATTCAGTTTTTTATTATTACATTTTTTATTGTTTGGTAAAGAGAGATATTTCTAAAGGAACGAATAATACATGCGATTAAGAAATAGTGCACTCCCGGGATGAAGGATACATGATTTATACATCTTAAAAGGCATTTGTTAACAAGTGAATGGTGTAGTGTAGTGGTTCACATACATGCCTTACTTGTGCTCCACCCAGGTTCGAATCTATTAGCTTCATTTTTTTCTATATTTTAGAAGCACACCTAAACTCTCAAAATTGATGACATGGAATTGATGGGATGATGTGGATAAGCTGATGTGGTGCCCAGCAGTGATACTGAGGTGACATGGCAAAAAATACCCCTGTTTGAAAAATAAGTTTAAAAGTACCTTAGTTTGGGAAATAAGTTTGAAAAACACCCTCCATGGGAAAAACTCCAAAATGCTACTGAGCATTTCTAGGTCTTTTTCCAAAATGTGGTACTGAAACTTATTTCAGGTCATTTTAGTTGCCACATCATAAATTCAAGTTATACTCTTATATTTAAATTTAAAACTAGTTCTATTCTAACTGTGTCATTCCATATTTAATTAAAATTTAAAATTAAACACTCCTCCTCCTTCTCGTCCTCCTCATCATCATTATCATTATTTCATTATTATCATTATTGGTATTATTATTAGGGGGTTTCCTTAAATATTACTCCTTCCGTCCTATTTTATCTATCTTACTTTCTTTTTCGGATTGACCCAAAATAAATGTCACATTTCCCTCTTTGCAAAAAAAAAAATTGATTCACAACATTTCACTTATTATGCTCAAATATCAGTGACAACTTTTACCTTTTCAACCACTTTATTAATACTTGTGTTAATCTCAAATGAGACACATAAAATGGGACAAAGATAGTACTAATAAAAAACTCATTGACAAAAATATTACTTACTAACTATTAGTTATTATAATTGCACTTAATTATCATGTTATAAATTGGAACACATTTATAGTCACTAATAGTTATTTAATACTCCGTAATAGTTTTATCCATCACATTAATGAAATTTTTCTTATTATTATTACTATTATTACTAATATTATTATTACTATCATTACTATTATTATTATTATTGATATTATTATTATTGATAGGTATCCATAGAAAAATAACAACACAACTTAAATAAAAAGTGTTAGAAAATCAAAGTGATAGAATATAGTATTGGAACATAAAAATAAAATCATAAGCATTACTTAGTGGTAACAAGTAAAGATATACGTGTTAGGGTCATTTTTTTAATATGAGTGTATTGGAATATAAAAGTAAAATTATAAGCATTACCTAACAGAATTTAATACAATTATACGTGGGTTAAGAATTAACAGGTAACACAAGTGGGGCAGTGGTCGAAGACTGTAAAGTTGAAATGCACGTTGCGGGCTTCAATTAACTGATTTGAAGTTTTTCTTATTTTTACTGATGCATACGATAGCGATGTGGTGAAAAAAAAATTATTTGAGAAATAAGTTTAGAAAGTACCTTATTTTGAAAAATAAATTGAGTATTTTTGCACAACTTAGGTAGAGTGTACATAAAATGTAGTGGTATCATAGTCCATTCCTGTAAAAAGTGCTGATTTTACTAATACTTTTACGCTCTTGGTTAAATTTTTCTAAAGTTTATTGAAATTCAGAAAATAAAGTAAAAATGTGTGATTGAAATTGTTGGAGAAAAATGAATTAAATTGAATTATAAATTTTTTATTAAAACAAAAGGTAGCAAAATATATAAAATATGTGTACTCCACTCATATAATAGGCTCTTTGAGATCTCATTCTTTATTTCATGTGCTAAAATATAATCATTTGCAAAAAAAATATACAAACGTGCAATAACCCTAAATAAATAAATAAAAGGGGAAAACTGTCAAATAGGTTCTCGAACTTTCATAAAAAAATCAATTAAGTCCTTCTATAGGAGACTTTGTCCGGTCGTCACGATTTGGGGCGGTTCCCGGTGGAATTTTTTGATGAAATTTTTTGAGCCTCTTATTCATCAAGTCTAGTTTACTCATACCAAATTACAGCTAAAAATTTAATCGGGAGCGCATTCAAATTAATTCGAGAACGCAAAAATGCGCAGTTATCTTCAAGAATTAATTTGAATGAGTTCGTAATTGATTTTTTAGCTGAAATTTGGTATGAATAAACTAGACTTGGTGAATAAGATGCTCAAAAATTTCATAAAAAAATTCCACCGGGAATTGCCCCAAATCACGACGGCCGGACAGAACCTTCTATAGAAAGACTTAATTGACCTTTTTATTAAAGTTCGAGGACCTATTTGACAGTTTTCCCTAAATAAAAGACTTCGTACGTCCAATGTTATTTACTTACAATATCCGAAATCATATAATGGTTGAAAAAGACTTTCCATACGTGAAATTATATTCACTTACAATAATATATATTAGTCTTAGTGACAATCATTGAATTGATTGCAATTATATATTTACGCATTTACAGGGTTACACCTATAAGATAATACATATGATTGTGATCCATAATGCAACACATACAATTATACAAATGAATGGGATGTGAAGCTATTTACTTGTCATTCTACAATGATTTATAATAATAAAAAAATAGTACCTCTGTCTCATTTACTTGTCGTCTTTCATTTTTTTGGTTAATCAAATTCATCAATTATGTATTTTTATAAGAATTTATTTACGTAGTATAATATAAAAATGATGTGAAAATACTACTTTTTGTTTGTTAAAATAAATTTCATAAAAATATAAAATTTATGGCTTCCTAAATATTGTACTAATCTAATCATGGTCTAAATTTTACCACCATTATTGTCTTGAAAAGTCAAAAATGGCAAAATTTTAGGTTACCGAGATAGTAATATGGAGTGAAGAAAACTGTATAAAATAGAATAAAACACATGTCATTAAGTTTTTCTTCACTCATAATTTGGAGAGCAAAAAAAATCAATGAAATAGTGTTATCTAACCAAGGGTTACCGGGGATGAGCCTGGGATGATACAAGACAGTTCGATATTGCTCTTCGGTAACGTTCTGTTCCTAGATAATTAATGAGCACGAACTACCAAAAACTTTAGATTTTAACATTTATAATATATTTTAACATGTACAAAAATGGAAGAGAAGGACTGCAGAATAAATAATTCAAAAGTTTTCACAAGTCATAGTCTAAGTTATTGGCTATAATTCCTATAAATAATAATATGTAATATAATAAAATATAATATTTTTAATTAAATATTACTATGTGTGTGGCTCCTTCCCTCTAAGATTGGGACAAACGAGGGTGATGCAATTTTTATGATAAGTAGAGTTATATGATTGAATGATTGAATGAATTGATAAAATGAGAATAAAATAAAAATGAATTAGAGACACAAATATTACCAAATACTCCCTCTCTTTCAAAATGAAAATCACACTTTCTTTTTTCAAAAATGATGTTTGTACACACTCTTATACACACTTTTGTACACACCTATGTCTGTGAAAGTTTTTTTTTGTCTGTGAACATCGATTCACAGACAATGTTTTGCACAAACAAAATATTGTCTGTGAACCGGATTCACAGACAAAAAAAAAAGCTTCACAAACATGGATGTTTCAAAACAAAGTCACACTTCCTTATTTGGTAAACAAATCTATATCAATACAATACAAAATAGTGCAAAACAATGCTAAACAATATCAAACAGTTTCAAAACAATATACTCTACAATAACATTACCCCTCAATAAATTTATTTTCTTGATATTTGTGAAATCAATGTGTGACTTTCATTTTGAAACGGAATGGATTAGGGATGAACTCGGTTCGGGCCGGGCCCGGTTCGGGCCTTGAACCGGACGGGCCTCGGTTCAAGGTATGGGAGGCCCGGAACCGGCCCGGGTAACCCCCGGGTCCAGGCCGGGCCGGGCCTCGATTCATTTTTTTTTTTGGCTTTTCATAGTTAACCCCCAACCCTCCCCCTCACCCCCAAACCAACCCTAACCACCTCAAATGGCCCAAAATACCCAGCCCAACCATAAAACTTAAAAAAAAATCAAAAAAAAAATTGGCCCGGCCCGGGCCCGAACCGGCCGGACCGGTTCACCTTTTGAAGGGCCCGAGCCCGAACCGAGATCCCACCGGGCCGGGTGGCCCGAACCGACCAACCAATCGGTTCACCGGGCCGGGCCGGGCCCGTACAGTAGCAGGCCAGTCCGGTTCCGGGCCGGTTGGCCCGGCCCGAGTCCACCCCTAGAATGGATTATGGATATATGAAATCAGACAATTACTAGTTTTTTTCAGGACGATTCGGTTAGTTTACCTACATTGAAATATCAGTCACGAATTATAGGGGGTATTTGCCAAACTTACTCGAATCTACGAAGTACGAACTAGTTACGCATAGGGCTGATTCGATATGGTATACCAAAATTTCAACGCCATACCGCATACCGTACCGAAAATCCGGTATTGGTAAATGTCATACCGTTACCATACCGAAACTTTCGGTATACCGAATTTCGGTATACCGAAACTTTCGGTATACCGAATTTCGGTATACCGAAAATTCGGTACGGTATGTAACCCATACCGTTTTATACCGAAAATTCAAAAAAAAATATTGGCAATTCCGTATAAAGTATTAGCTTAAGGGGCCTACCGAACATAAAAAAAAAACTGATTTTAACAAGTCAAAAGTAGCATACGACATCAATACATAAACCGATACCAAAACTAAAACACAATATTTAATCCAAAGTAGAAAATACTAAAATTATGTGCTAATATCTCAAGTCTCAACACAATCCATAATGAAAATTAGAATATTTATCCAACATAAATCAATGATAACTAATGTTTGTAATAACAAATCTTTAAATCATTGTTGCAGCTCCGTATAAATAAGAGATTATTCTCGTTGAAGAGAAGAGAAACTGCTTGACTCTACGTTGATTTATTTGGGGAGAATTTGACTTTGCACCCCATGTTTTGGGTGATATTTGAGTTTGCACCCTATTTTCAAAATCATTAATGTATGCACCCCAATTCACTATAAAATTATTTGACTTTGCACCCCACACCTTCACAATTTTTGGGCTAATGGGGTGCATACATTAATGATTTTAAAAATAGAGTGCAAAGTCAAATATCACCCAAAACATGGAGTGCAAACTCAAATTCTCCCATTTATTTGATTAGGTATTTAGGCCTCTACTTGGAAGAAGTGGAGAACTAGAGAAGGGCCGTAGTATTATAAGATGAGTTATTTTAATTTTGGGCCTTGGTATTTTAATAATTTTATTTAATGGGTTTGGCCGTAAAAATTTACAAATTCTATTTCGGTATATCGGTATTTCGGTATATACCGTACCATACCGAAAATTTAAAAAATCCATACCTTTACCGTACCGAAGTGACCCGGTATGGTATCATACCGTACCGAACTTTTCGGTATACCGAAAATTTCGGTAAATTTGGTATTTTTCGGTATGGTATGGCCGGTATACCAAAATTTCGGTATATTTTCCCACCTCTAGTTACGCATGAGTGGCCTAAATAACAAAAGGACAGGTCATAGGTTTCCTTTTAAAAGGCTTTGCTTTGTTGGAAATTCCCCATGCCATTACACCATCATTATGTATTTCTTTGATGTGAACTGCAAGAGTCACTTTAACAAATGTTTCTCATGAATCGGATAACAGAACCAATTACTTCACCATTACACGTTAGACCCACCGGGCAGTAACCAAAATATGATACACCAATACAAATCCATCACAAAAATACAGTTAGAATGACCGAAACACGGGTTAACTGGTATTTCCTATACACAAGCACAAGGATCTGATACCCCCTCGAATCTCCAGCATGCATTTACATCTCCGCTTGAGTAATGATCGGAATGGTTATGTAGATCAAAGTCATCAGACCAAAAGAATGAGACACAGGCCTTCAATAATGGTCTATGCTGGGGGGAGACAATGGAGGGACAGCTGGCAGGTGAGCCAGGAAGGACGGATCTATCACCTGTAATGTTTTTCTAACCATCACCACCTGAGAAACTTGGTTCCGGCCAATCTTTCTTGATGGAAGCGATTGAGAGGCAACTGCTCTTGTGGAATTGCCCACCCTCTTAATGGATGCTAAAACCATGTCATTTGAGAGACTTTTCTGGGCAGATGTGATGATGGACCCAAACACACCAGACTCTTTCAGTCCTTGGATGATCACCTGCATAATAATAGCATAAATAAAGAGTGCTAAAACTATAAGAATTACTATGGATCATTCATAAAGGGTATTTCTTAAATGCAGTTAAATGTTCACCATGGGAGCATAAATACGAGTCAAAATGCCCTTTCTCAATAGTTTCATGTTAAGTATTTTATCACTCCAGACTACATGTTCACGGTACCTGATAAAAAAGGAAAACAATCATATTAAATTTTAAATGATAAGTACATTCAAGTTAGCTCCAATAATAAGTATTCGAGGCTAGATTTTGTGTTGAGTTTTTAAAACTATCTAACAATAAACATAGCAACATTAAAATACCATTGTTCATATTCCGGAGAACTCCGCCATGATATCATTTTTTTTGGTATCATGACTGTCCCAAGCCAGGATAAAGAAGGAGGGTGCTGTGGTAGGCGTGTGACGGCCAACAGTATCACCTAGTCACATCACATGACATGAATCGCAATACGAATATCGCTAATGCTAGGTCGTCACCCGTAAGTGACGCATCATCCCTCCGTCTGGGGGTTGTGTCAAATATGCAAGGGCGCGCTACACTTCATAGACCCGGGTGTGGTGATAAGAATGCTAAGGTTGATAGGTCACCGCCGGGATGCGGCGCGTCATCCCATTGCCTGGGGATGATGTAAAATATGTCAGGGCATGGTGGGTCCGAGATGGGGCTAAGAACAGAAGGTGGAGTGATAGATTGCGTTTTGGGACATGGAATGTTGGGTCTCTTATAGGCAGATCTTCTGAGGTAGTCGAGAGGTTATGAGGAGAAGGAATATCAGTATTATATGTGTGCAAGAAACTAAATGAGTTGGAGAGAAGCACGCGAGATTAATCCCGGAAGTTTTAAGTTGTGGTATTCGGGGAGAGATAAGACCATAAATGAGGTAGGCATTATTGTGGCGCGTGACTATGTTGAGGATGTGGTAGAAGTCTTCAGGAAGAACGATCGCATCATGAGCATTAAATTGGTGATAAGGGGTGATATTGTGTCTGTGGTAAGTGCCTATGCACCACAAGTGCGATTGGATGCATCTACAACTCAAGGGAAGATCTTGAAGACGTGGTGCGACGAGTGCCAAAGGGAGAGAAGTTGGTCATAGGAGGTGACCTCAACGGGCATGTGGGCTCGAGTTGTGATGGCTTTGAGAGTATTCATGGCGGACATGGTTTTGGCACTAGGAATGGGCGGGAAAGAACATTTTGGATTTTGCCTCAACGTATGAGTTGGCTATAATGAACACTTGGTTTATGAAAAGATACTCTCACCTTGTAACCTATAAAAGTGGAGCTAATAGTACCCAAATTGACTACTTCTTAGTAGGGCTGGCATTTTGAACCGAAAAACCGAAAACCGAACCGAAAATAACCGAACCGCATCGGAAAAAAAACGAACCGGACTGAACCGATAATTTTTGGGACCCGAAAATCGGGACCCGAAAAAAAATCGGTTCGAAATCGGTTTGTACTCTCAAAATATCGGTTTGGACCGAACCGAACCGATTTTTTTATTAATAATAATAATTGTTTTTATCATAGTTAATTTCATTTACTAAATATACAATACTGTTGGGAGAGGATCATGAACGTATCCTGTGTGTTTGCTGGTCGCGTAGTGTGTTAGCCATCCTGTTGGTCACGGGTTCGAATCCTGTGTGATACTTTCTAGGTTGATATGCTTAAAAGCATTTTTTTTCTCTTCTGTGGGTTTTTCATCCCACACCGGAAACAAAAGGAGTTTACTCCTCAAATGCTTCTATATAATAAGGGATGACCTCAAACTTGTAGTTGTGCTTGAATGGGTCATGTATTCCGGTCCTAGACTATCAAAGTGGACTTTAATTTACTCAAAAATCTAAATGTCATATTATTGGCTCATGGAATTGAATTCTAGTTCAGGTTTAATTTTTTTAGTGATATAATATGTAAATGTCGGTTTTTGATCGGTTTTTGATAAACCGACCCGAAAAATCGGTTCCCAATAAATTGGGACCCGTTTGATGATCGGTTCGGTTTCGGTTATGATATTTGGAATAACCGAAATTTCGGTTCGGTTCCAAATTTCATTGGATCGGTTCGGGTCCCGAACCGAAACCAGCCCTACTTCTTAGTACGGACCACTTATAGAACTAGCTACACTGATTGTAAGGTTATTCCAGGTGAGAGTGTTGTCACTCAGCATAGGATGTTTGTGCTTGACTTTCGAGGTAAGAACCATAGAAGACAAGTTAAACAACAAGTGGAGCCAAAGATAAAGTGGTGGATGCTCAAGGGAGATCTTCAACAAAACTTTATACACAAAATGGTCGGTGAGGATGTATGGCGTATTGATAATGAAACAAATGTGGATGATGTGTGATTATCAATGGTGTTGACCATTAACAAAGTGGCAAAAAAGGTACTTGGAGAATCTAAAGGATGTCTGCCACCTAAAAAGAACACGTCTTAGTGGAATGATGAGGTGAAACAGGCCATAAGGAACAAAAGAGATTGATACAAAAAGTTGGGGACAAGTTGGAGTGATGAGAACATAGAAGCATACAAGGAGGCTAAAAGACAAGCAAACAAAGCCGTAAAGGAAGCACGAGGAAAAGTGAACAAGGAATTGTATGAAAAGTTGGACTCTAAAGAAGGAGAACTACATATTTATAGACTCGCTCGTCTTCGTGATCGCAGGACTCAAGATATTGCAAAAGTTAAGTGTGTGAATGATGTCGATCAGAGGATATTAATGGACGGCGGAGAGATAAAAGAGAGGTGGAGGTCATACTTTGATACACTATTCAACGGGAACAAAATGCAAGATATCGGTGATTTGTCCATACCAGATTGTATGGTAAATCGTGATTTTGTGAGAATGATCCAAACAACGGAAGTTAAAGAAGCTCTGAGGAAGATGGGGCGGAAGAAAGCAGTGGGTCCAAATGGCATACCGATCGAGGCTTGGAGAAGTTTGGGAGAGAGAGGCGTTGAGTGGTTAACAAGTTTCTACAGCATGATTTGAAGAAACAACAAGATGCCAATGAGTTGGAGGAAGAGTACTCTTATCCCCTTATTTAAGAATAAAGGTGATGTACAAGAATGTGCCAACTATCGAGGGATTAAGCTTATGAGTCACACCATGAAACTTTTGGAGCGAGTGATTGAGCAAAGACTTCGAAGAACTGTGAAGATTTCAGAGAATCAATTTGGTTTTATGTCTGGTCGCTCAACAACTGAGGTCATTCACCTTCTTCGGCAACTTATGGAGAAGTATAGAGACGCTCATAAGGATCTGCATTTGGTGTTCATTGACTTACAAAGGCATATGATAGGGTACCTCGAGAAGTTCTTTGGTGGGCCTTAACTAGAAAAGGCATATCACGTAAGTATATCAGCATCATCATGGATATGTATGAGGATTGTACTAGAAGTGTTCGTACTAGTGTAGGGAGGACTGAAGAGTTCCCTATTACTATCGGAGTGCACCAACGATCAACTCTGAGCCCTTTCTTATTTGACATAGTCATGGATGAACTTACGAAGTCAATTCAAGATGATATACTGTGGTGCATGATGTTTGCCGATGATATTATATTGATTGATGAGACGCAATCAGGTCTTAAAGCAAAGTTGGAAGTATGGTGACAAACATTGGAGAAAAAGGTTTCAAACTAAGTCGAAGCAAGACAGAGTACATGGAGTGCAAGTTTGGTGGAGGTAAAAGCGGTGGTAACAGCGGAATTACTTTGGATGGTAAAGAGATACCGATCAGCGATATGTTCCGTTACTTGGGCTCCATAATTCAAAAGGACGGTGAGTTAGATGGAGATGTATCCCATAGAATCAGAACAGGGTGGATGAAGTGGAAGAGTGCGTCAGGATTTCTGTGCGATAGAAATATGCCGACAAGACTGAAGGGTAAATTTTATAGGACAACAATTAGGCCTGCATTACTGTATGGCGTAGAGTGTTGGGCGGTGAAACAATGTCACATTCAAAAGATGAGTGTGGCAGAGATGTGCATGCTGCGTTGGATGTGTGGGCATACTAGGAAGGACCGCGTGAGGAATGAGACAATCAGACAAAGGGTGGGAGTAGCACCTATTGAAGACAAGATGTGGGAGTTGCGCCTAAGGTGGTTTGGTCATGTGCGTAGAAGACTGAGTGATGCACTTGTCAGACGAGTTGAGATGTGTGGAGAAGAGGCACGGCAGAGAGGGAGAGGAAGACCCAAACAGACGTGGATTAAGGGAGTTCGAAGTGATATGCTTCTCCTGGGTTTGGATGAGGGCATGACTTTGGAGAGAGCTAAGTGGAGGGCGGGTATTCGTGTGGAGGAGTGATCTCGTATCATCATTTCCCCTCATCTTTTTTTCCTTGTTTTTTATCCTTATATATAAGCATTATTTATATCCTTTTTATTTTATCATTTTTATGTATATTCGTCTCTTTATATTATCTTTTTATAATAGCTTATCTTTTTTATCTTTATTTTCTTTCTTTTCCTTTTGGTGGTGATATCATGTATTGATTCATGTTAGCCGACCCCAATATCTTTTGGAACTAAGGCTTGGATGCTATTGTTGTTCATATTCCGGGGGAGGGGGGTCTTGATAGGAGAATTTGAATGGATTTCCGTGAGTTATTATTATTTCTATAATATTTAGTAGTTACCAGTTCAGCATCTCCTCCTCTGTTGCAGTTGAAGCAATAATAAATGCCTGCAAAATATTTAAAAAGTATTTCAATTTCATAGAGCAAAAGACATCAAGATAAAAGGTACTTCGTATAACAGTAAGTGCTCTAGAAAATCTGTTACATTTTAACAGAAATAAGTAGTTAAAGACCTACATCAGTAATTGGCCTTTTAATCCAGTAATGAAAATATAACCTAAATGAGACACTACATGTTCCTCCCTGCAATGTATTATTACATCTAATTCTATTTAGAATTTTACAATAATACGGCTTCATACAATTTTAACATCACTTCATAGTGTAAAAAGAAATAAGAAATGCAGAACAAGGGTTCAATAATTTATCTTAATTTATTCAGTCATAACAAATGTGAACACAAATTAAGAAACATAGAAATGCATAAGAGCTTGACTTTTCACCTTTATCAGTGTACACTTCCAAACTCAAAAAAAAAACTTTGCAATAAATGCAACAACTTTCTTCAAAGAAAACCCACAAGGGTGAAAGTCTAAGCAAGGAGAAACTCACAGATCTATCAAACTCCAACATGAAGCATCTTTTGACATCCTCCTTTGTAGGCTTGCAACCACATCGATCTCTTCTGGAAGTTAAATCTGAGAACTTTGAATATGTGTAATGAAGAACAGCAGCCTCTTCCAATTTAATCTCACTGCCACATGTAACACGAAATTAGTTCCAAGGAAAATAGGAATAGATGACCAACATATTGAGAGAGCAAGGATGAAATTCTCTTCAGATGAGATCATGGAATAACATACTTTGGAGATTTCATGTAATTGTGCCACCTGTGGGCTCCATTGGGACGAAGATGCTCTTGTATACGAGCAGCTGACTTCCCATTACCATAAGTTAGAAAGTAGTTCGGATTGCCGCGAGTTGCTTCTTTGTACATCCCAAAATATGTATCTTTTGTTAGATGATCATAATTCTTCTTGAACATTGATACCTGTTGTGGACAAAATACAACAGAAACATATCGTTTCAACAAACAATTGGAGTTAAGTTAAGATGTACATAAAGTCATACTACCTCCGTTCTTAAATAAATGCAACACTTTGACTTTTGCACTATTCACATGTTCTACTTTGATTACGTTTTATTTATTAATGTAATAATATTATTTTATGAAAAATATTGTTAAACTTGTCTCATTGTAAATTTTCATAATCTAAGTTTTTAAATTTTTTTTACTAATACAAAATCATTTATATTAATGGTCAAAGTTGTGTCTCGGCAAGTGTGAAATGTTGACCGTTGCATTTATTTAAGAACGGAGGAAGTATATGGTTGAGTTAGCTCCTTAATGAGGTACATACATGAAGATAATGTAATAACATGGTTATGTTGACATTTCAGCTAACATTATTTATTTATTTATTTATTATTTCAAAGAAACTTCAGGTGACCAATGTATAAAGTATGACAATTTGTGAATCAGAAGTCTAGATTACCTCTGTAAAAGGATCCTTGACATCGTCCCGTTCCACACTGCTCTCCTGAATATAGGAAAAAGATTGTGACAGCATATTAAAACCGTTTATCAATTCAATATTATAGTGTTTTTATCAAAAAAAAAAATAACGAAGTAAAAATAATGCTATACTCAGATACTCATTTGAAAAAGGGGGTGCCACCTTATGACAGTTCCATAGTTGTTGATGGCGAGGAATGGCGCGTGCACCATGCGCCATATGGCAAGAAAACCCTCCATTGCCATGAAAAGTTCTCATGGCAATGACCAAACACATGGTGGTGCCATATTTGTGCCACATAATATTAAACAAATCTGAACCAGTTTACTTTGTGATTTTTGGGCTTTTGACCCTGATAAATACTCCCTCCATCCCTCAATAGTTTGCCAAGTTTGACCGGCATGGGAAATAATAAAGTAAAAACTGTGTGGTTGAGATATGTGCAGAGGAGAGAGAAATAACAGGAACCACAAATTCAATGATTAAAAGGGAAAGTGGCAAAGTTTTTGGGACATCCAAAAAAGGAAAAGATGGCAAAGTTATAAGGGACGGAGGGAGTATTTAAATTAATCTGCCAGGCCATAATATTAATAAAAACCTAATAAGAAATTAATATGTTAGCCCATTATATTAAGAAAGGTAAGACATTCCCCTCTAATATTAGTGAAGAAAAACTTCATTTAATACAAAACTGTATATGAATATATGATTCCTGTTCTTATAAAGCTAGTAACAAATCTATATATGCTTCCTCTTCAAATAGAAAACTATAACTTCATTAGAGAAGAATAAGAAAATATCCAAATGTGTTAAGCACACTGCAAGTTTGTAACCCATAGAAATTGTTATTGTAAAAGGAGCAAAAGGATTTTTGAGTGTCAAACATGAAACAAAGCATCAGTAGAAGAGCTCAACCTTTACATCACATGTCTATTGAAAATTTAAAATAGGTATAATGGTATAAGGCACTGAAAGTCTGAAACATCATGTACACTATCTTTTTCCAACTTTTGAAAGACATGGAACTTTTTTGAATATTATGTTTTTTTGGAACTACTTTAAACTATTTTAAATTCACATGATTTGGTTAGAATGTTGGTATTCAACTTTTTTTATCATGTTTTGGTGGTTGGGTGATAGAACTATGGTGTCTATAATTCATATTTTTAGTTATTTTTTGTCATGTGGCGACGCCATAATTGCGCCACTGCCACCGGCCATGGAAAAATGCCTTGGCGCCATGGATTTCACCAAGCCCCATGACAACTATGGACAGTTTACAGTTGTAATTGGTAATATTCAAACAACTTACATAATTTGGAAAGACAACCATATCCACGTTTGAAGGCACATCTAGTAGTAACTGTCGCAAAGAATACTCACGAGCACCACCTGGGTGTAATAACTCGTCTGTGTCTAGATGAATTATCCACTCAACGCCAGCATCCTGAAATAGTAAAAAAAACCAACTAATACTTATTTACCTAGAATAATAATGTTTTTCTTTACATAGAACAACAGTGTATGACTAGCACTTTCAAAAGAAAACATGTGGAGTATGAAGTTTGTACCCTTGCCATTACAATAGCCATCTCCATATTTAGAGATTGCTTCACAAAAAGCTCATAGTTGCAAGGTTTGTAAAAGAAACTTGACAGCCATGTTTCATTCCAAATCCGGCTAAAACATAAAAACAAACTCAGTAAGAGCACAAATATTAATGCTAGAATATTTGGGGCTTGTTTCTGTCACTTTCTACCTTCTAGTTTCTGTTCTTTTAGAAACTAAAAAACGGGTTACGAGAACCAGAATAGTGTAGTTATCATTTTTAGAGGCTTTCAAAATTCACAAGGGTAGTATAAACATGAGTACTTGGTTTATTACTCCATATACAGCTTATATCATGTGTGGAGTAACTTTTAATATTATAAAACCAAATACAGAAAACTGGTTTCCATACTGAGCAGGCAATTAATGGGCATACATCAAAAGGTACAAATGTGAGAATATGAATGTAGTACGACCTAGGACCCAAAAATGTCTAGTTTTATCTAGGGACAGCTCTGTTAGTAAGGTACAACAATTCAAAACCATCAATTCTAGCTAGACTATTAAATTAAATTGGTAGTTTTACTGAATTTATAATACTCAACTAGTCAACTTGTATAGTAACATTCTTTTAAAAAATTAAATACATTTAATATGATACAAATAGCTACATCCTTTCTCAAATATGACTACTTTTGGGACAATTTTAAGGTTTTAAATGGGACACTTTTCTGATAAATAATAGCAAATGGGAGTAAAACATGGTCATGTGCACACATAGAACTATCCTTGTCTTATGGTAAAAATAGGATCCATTAAGTCCCAGAAAGAATAAAAGTGATCACTAATTCTTTTCTATGAGTGACAGTCTTATTTTTAGGGGAGGAAACAAGCATTCTCCTATTTGAAGAAATGTTTTATGTTCTAGTTCTATTTATGGAATGTTACCACTTTTGGGATGGAGGGGGTATTTATTATTTTGTAACTTGACTAACTTCTAGGTTGTAATATTGCAGAAAAGAATACTCCATAAATATTAATGCTCTGATGCATGCTACAATATAATATTATGGAAAGATAAAGAGAGCAATCAAGTAGAATAATGAGGAGTAATAGCTGATTGATTTGCTTGATTGACTTTATTATGATTTGGTTTTAATACCTTCATTACTTAATCTATTTTAGGAAGTGATTTTCCAGGAGGGGTGTAATGATGCATGCTACAATATAATATTTTGGAAAGACAAATAGAGCAATCAAGTAGAATAATGAGGAGTAATAGCTGATTGATTTGCTTGATTGAGTTTATTATTATTATTTGATTTTAATACCTTCATTATTTAATCTATTTTAGGAAGTGATTTTCTAGGATTTTCCTTTCTTTGTTTTTGACATTCATAAGCATGTAATCCCTCTTATAAAAGGGAGTTTTGCTATTCTAATAAAATATGGAAGAAAAATTAAGAAGAAACCAAGAAGGAAAAATCACCAAATTTCCATAGCCCTATCTATTTATTATTTATATTTCTTTCCCGTGACGCAAAGAATCCTTGTACATAACATACTCATATACTTTCCTCTATCACGGATTATTGTGGACCAAAAGAAGTAACTTTGCTCGCTAAATTATACTCCATATACATTATGGAATTTAACATAAAGTAAATGAAAATAAGCTAAATGTTGTCAATACAAGCTTAATTAAAGCTAAGACACGGAGTCAAACCTCTTAGCCTGTTGCTCCTCTAGCTCTTTGGTTCTGTAAATTACTTTTACTCCCTGCAAACAGTGCATGGTGATCGATTTTGATGAAATTATGGGTTAAAAATAGGAAATTCCAATAACACGAACACAATACACGATTGACAAAACAGTTAAGGCAGAAGTACACATTAGCATATTACAAACTTACAGGAATAGACTCAAGCACTTTGGATACTTCAGGAGATGCAGCCTTCCCTTCGACAAAAAGTAAAAATGTTGTCACGCCAATAACTTTATGATAGAACATCCATGGAAGAATTTGGTCTAAGCCGCCGGACGTACTTGTTGTAATACATATCTGCATAGTCAGGAACATGACAAGGGTTAGATGACACTGCAATTCATTATTTGATCTCAGAAAGACAAGAGATCTTGTAAAAATGAATACCAAAAAGAAAGAGTCAGGTCAGAAAGTGTTCCTATATAATAACCTATCTGGTAAATGAAGCGATCATAAGATTACAGAATATATGATGCTAATTTACTAACCAGCATGAAAGCATTACAAAAATATACGAAGTATCACCTAAGTAAAAAATAAAAACAGTGAATCATTTAACTGATTGTGTTTACATAAATCACACAGAGAACTCCAAAATCCAACCGTTTGATGTTCATTATTACCTGTAGTTGTGGTTTTTTGGTACAAGAAAAGTATTGATTGAGTGATCTAACCTATACTCCTCTCCGAGTTTATTTCATACCAAGTCACTGATCTCTGCGTTCATTTAGGTTGGAATAGCAAAAAAGACCTCCAGTTTTAACGGTGGCGGGTGACTACCAAAAATAACACTGTGATGCTGAATAGTATAGCAAGTCTTAATAAAAGAATATATGCCCATGTATTCAGGACTCTATGCTTTGTTGTTTCACTAATTCCTAATTTTCTATGGCGCGCGTGTGCCAGTTAGGTATATATAATTCAGTTTCAATACTACAGGCAAGCCCCATTAAAGGTATAAAAAATCTCAAATCCCAGAAATCGATCGTAACAAACCCTAAAACAAGCAAGTAAAAAAACAACAAAAACAGAATCACACCTTGGGTTTTAGATCTGATACAATATTGAACTGTGAGTCCTTGTAATAAGAGAAGAACGCCGAATTCCGTTGGCCAAGCAGGGAGCAATCAGATGAGTGGGACGAGTGACCTACGGTGGCAAGAGGAGAGCTGTCCATTCCCGGGAACTTGTGAGACTCTTCAGGGGACCACCGCGATATTGGATCGTCGACACCCCCGCCACGCCATTGGAGGACAAAAGCTAAAAGTGAGAGGGATAGAGGAAGGAGAGTGAGAAGGAGAAGGAGCTTGGCGGTGAAAGAATGGGTAGTAGAGGCTGAGGACGGTGGTTGCGGCCTTAGAGAGGCGTAGAGACCCGCCATTGTTGACAAGGGGCGGGGAAAGGAGAGGAAACGGTCGTGAAATGAAATGTAGACTTCAGTCTCTTGAAGAAAGTCTAAACTCTAAACTATCGAACTTTGATGTGATTTTCTTCTTATAGTATCTCCTTCCAAATAGATTTACAAAATCAATTTTTTTATTTAAATAGTTTCATTTTATTCACTTAATTATGATATTAATTTATATTTACATTTTAATTTTGATTTTGCAACTTTATAAATTTTTTAATATAATTTCTAAATATGTAAATTTTAATTATTAATAAACAGGATTTAACTTTAACCTTGGTTTACGAAATAGTGATAATTTTGCAAATCAACTTGGGAATGAGGGGTAGTTATTTGTGATAACAAAAAATCTTTATGTACACCCCTGGAGTTTGAGATATTTTCAATTTAGTCTAAAGATAGATTATGGCCCTGTTTGATAATTAGTTGTTAGCGATTAACTGGTGAGTTGGGATTTTGATCGACTGGACAATTTAGCAGTTTTGATCGACTGATTCGATTAACTGATTCTCTTTAAATGTTTGGTAAAATTAGATGCTTATAATTAACGGTTAGAATGTTAAAATTACACGTAACTTTTATTTATTTATTTATTTATTTACTTACTTATTTGTATATTTATGTATTTGATTTATTTATGTATTTCTTTTTTTGTTTGTTAGTTAGTTTTCCAAAGTGATTTATAATAAACATCTGAATTATATGGTGTTGAGGTTTATTCCTTCAATCCGTAGACCCAACATGTGTCTTAAGGGTTTCGAATGGAAGAATGAACAAGTAAATGAGAAGACAAGCAAGGAAGGCCCAATAAAGAGTTTTGATATACCGTATCGATTACAAGCTGAAGTGTCGTTCGTACAATGTTATGCTATGAGCTGATACAATTGCTAGAGTGCTAAATTGTGAACCCTTTATAGTGAAATAAATGCTTCTATTTATACTGTCAAGGGGTAGTTGGATGTGTTGTCGTGGCGGGCTGTGGACGGCTTGATCCCAACCACCAAATCTTCTGCATTAAATACGCTTCCCGCCAAAATCTTGGCTTCCCGCCAAGGGGTGGGGACGTTCGTCCCCCTGCGCTTGCCTCCTGTTTCCTGCCAGAATCTTGGCCTCCCGCCATGGGGTGGGGACGTTCGTCCCCCTGCGCTTGCCTCCTGTTTCCTGCCAGAATCTTGGCTTCCCGCCAAGGGGTGGGGACATTCATCCCCCTGCGCTTGCGTCCTATTTACTGCCAGAATCTTGGCTTCCCGTCAAGGGGTGGGGACGTTCGTCCCCCTGTCAAAGTCCCGCAAGACGAGCATCTTGTGCTGCTCTCAGGGCTAGGTACATGTCGATGATAGGATACGTACGTCCACTGGCCCTTGGTGCTGAAGTTTGACCCTATTGGGGACGAAGCTCTCCATAATCAGTGGCAGGTAACTCACTCTCTTGGGTCTTCTGGGGATGTTCGTAAGAAGCTCTTATGGGTTAATGGGCCGGCCCCTGTTGGACCATTACCCCAACATATGGTTATAATATTTTCTAGAAGAGAATTTATAGTTATCATAACTAAACTATTTGAAATGAAAGATAAACAAACACCGCAACTGCTAAATTGAAAAACCTAGTAAGTAGGTTCAAAAAGTTAAAATGGAAGCAATTATAAAATTACTAAATTAGTCCCTCATGAAATTAGGGGAGTGTTTACGATTGTTTCTACTTTAAAAATCAATTGACTTTTAAAGTGATTTTGGACAGGGACGGATCTAGCATTACCATTCAGGTTGGGGGAAAAATTAATAAAATAATGCATATTGCAAAAAAAGTCAAAATGTAGAAACATAAAACTACATATGTATTCAACAAAATATATTTTTGAGTATAAATTAGTATTTGTTACAACATAAATTCAAAAACAAAAATAAAGATTACAAGAATAAGAATTTTGTCAAGGCCAAATAAAAACACCTCAAATTTACAAATATTGTTTAGGAGACTTCATAGAATGATATTGTCAAATTAGAAGTAAACTGCCATACATCTGTTCGGTTAAAAAATGTTATTTTATGGAAAAACTACCATTTTTCTCTTAAAATTACATAAAGATGGTATTTTTATTCTTTGAAAATGTCAAAATTTTCTTGAAAACCGCCATCAAGATTCAAGATGGCATTTCGGACAAATTTTGGCATTTTTTTCAGGTGATTGGAGCTAGAGATGTTGGGAGGTCGGTGATGTTGCAGCATAGGCCTACATATTTTTTTTAATATTTTTTCATTATTTGTTTATTTTAATTAAATTCGTTTAGTTTTTATTTTTACAATTTTTTCATTTTTTATTTTTAATAATTTTATTTAATATTTATTTCGTGTTTTTTTATTTTTTTAAAATTTTATTATAAATAAACTTATGTTATTACTTTTATATTCTCATTATTAATGAAATATGAATTGTATTAAAACAAAGAAAGGGTAGAATTGCAAAATTAGTCCTATTTAGGGAATTTTTAAGTTATGCACCTATTTTGGCAATTAATGCTCTGTTTGGGTAAAGTGAACTTAAGTAAATCTAGTGCAATAAAGTAAACCTAAGTTTTAATAAAAACTAGGTTAACCTAAGTGAACCTAAGTTCATGCGTAAAATAGTGTTTGGAAATAAATTAGGTGAACCTAAGTTAATGTAATAAATGTTTTTTGGATGAAGGTACTCTAACTTATTTTATGGTAAACGAGAACTTAACCTCCAAAATCCCCGTTTTGGAGGTTCTTCAATTTAAGGGGTTTTCAAGTTCTCAGGAGTTATGTGTGGTTAACTCATAACCTAGGTTCTTGTTGCAAAAACACAATCAAACGAGGATAACTAAAAATTGAACCTGCAATAGCTTAAGTTAATCCCCAAACAAACAGACCATAAAGTTCCATTCAGTCTCATTTGAGGGATTCTCCCTCAATAAAAACTAGAACTACCATGAAAACGAGAAAACAATCGGTGATAGATATGCTCTATTTTAAGTTAAACTTTTGTTTGTTTACATTCATTATTTCGTAACTGTAGTTTTTATATGATTTCTACCAGGTCAAGCCAACTTTTTATTTCGAGTTTGAAGGTGTGGATCGCTATTGTAGATCTTTTGTTGTTAACCTCAACCACAAGACATGCACCTGTGGCGTTTTTCAATTGGAACAATTTGTGTGTGCTCATGCAGTTGCCTCTATTCGTGTTGGCCCGCGTTTATCCTGTTGTGACTTCATCTCATCATTCTATTCACGTGATTCATGGCTTTCAACTTGGAGTGCTGATGTACATCCCATTGTTGATCCACAATCATGGTTGGTGCCTCAAGAGGTTCGTGATAAGATTTGCAAGCCGCCAAATTGTCTCGAGAGACTTGCTGGACGTCCTACGAAGACCAGAATTCCTTCTGTTGGGGAGTTTCGTGGATCTGGATCTAAGCGTCAAAAGTATTTTCGTTGACATGTACTTGGGCATAATAAAAAATCTTGTCGCAATCCTATCCCTATTTCTATGCAATGATGATATGTACTTCTGTTTTTTCCTTCTAGTATTTGGTTAAATTTTCCTATATCAATTTTATGAGTCATACTTCTTTAATGACAAACATATGCTCTTTATGTTACCATAAACATTTGTGATGAATGTTACCCAATTTTCACCTTTGAAGCTCAATTTAAATCAATATGCACACCCCAATAAGAATTGCACTTAAATAATGAGTAGACATTCTTGATATTAAAACATTAATACATTCAATCAGTTCAACTTGGACAAAAGCAAAGAAATGAAAAAACAGTTTGCATAGTTTAAATTAGACACAAACATAACAGATATTGTCAAATACAAATTCATTTGTCTAATCATTTTCAAGGAATTTTCCATAAAACAGTTCTCTGTATCTCGTTAGAATGGGCACAGGCTGGTAGCTTTTCTACATTGCATGGATCAATATGCATCAGTAGGAAGCGAGCGCGGCCATGTTTGAAGAAGGGTGTTAATTATGAACAGAGACTTAATCCTATAAAAATATCATAACTTGAACGCAAGGATGCTTACATCCCTAATACATAGATTAAAAATTAAAAATATAATAATAAAAAAACAGTAGTAATTTCTTTACATAAACAGCATACACACAAAACAGTAAATATTAATTCATTATATGTTTATCATCTTTAAACAACAAAACTGAAATCGTATATAATACAGAGTTTTGCTAAACAGAACACGCACTAGTCACTACAAATATGAAAAACTTCGAAGAACAATTCAATGTAGTTGCCTAATTTGGTAACTAAAGCATGATAAAAAGCAAAACAACTAACAATGGACAAGCTGAAGAAAGTCACTGCCTTTAATAAATCACCAGCATAAAGCTGCAGTAACAAATCAACTATCTGATTGTTAAATCAACATTGAATTTCCATCTTAAGCCGGCCGGTCTAACTTTAGTTAAATACATTACAATATCCCAATTTCGAGAATATACAATAAGATCAAGTACTCATCTTCAACAAAAATAACGTTAGATATATAATACAACGCACTATATAAATATGTCAAATGTAACATCCTTTCAACATCCGCCTATTGAATCCTTGGCCTTTTGGGGTGTGCATCTTTTCGTTCATAAGCAGTAAAGTAAGGAGCATAGTCCTCCTCCCACCGACCAGTGAACAAAGCAGCCTAGTTCATTAGAGATATCACAGATTATACATAACAAATATATGCTCAGTATTGATTAAACATAAAGGGTATAGGATATTTTTGTTCAACAAACCTTCTTGCTTAACGATTCAAGTGTATATCCACTCATGATGTGGTCCTTTTTAGTAAGGGATGCAGTCTGATTAACAGCTTACAAGGTTAGGTCTAGCAAGATGGCATCAAACAAGATGAAGATGCCTGTATGTATACAATATAATACCCACCTGATATCGTAGCCAAAACTCAAACCTTACTCTTATCATATCAGAAAGAGTGGACATAATGTCTTTATAAGCTTTTGACAACCAAGTGTTGCGCTCATCAAAGGGGGAAATTGCATTAACCAGC